AAAAACATTACTATCAAATACAATTGTGGCAGCCTTATAGATATATTAATAAATATACATATCCCTACATTCATAGTTTAAAGTTTTGTGGTTTTACCAACTCATAATGAAATGCTAATACCTAATTATTTGGTATAGATAGATATGCATACACAGTAAAACTTAGCTGCTGCTTTTCGTCCTCTGAGAGAATTTATCAAGGCAAATACAAGAATTTTATTTTGTAAAAAGGATTTATATACAAGAGCAAAAATGTTATTTGATTTTACAAAAATTTTTTAAGTTTAAGAATGCTTATAAATATTTATCAAGTTAGCTAAAAAGTCAGACAAGCATTTTATATATATATATATATATATATATATATATATATGTGTGTCTACATGGAACATATGTAAAGAACAACATGACTATGCAAAAATTTAGAAAGAATACCCAAAGAGGATCAATGTATTTAAAAAGAATTCAGTTAAATCTTACCCATTTGATCAAGTTCTATCGCATGGTACTTAATCTGTAGGGAATCAAACAAGGTCTTCACCTGAAAGAAAGTTTTGATAAGAAAATTTCAAAATCAAGGACACACTTTATTGGGAAATAACGATCACAAATTTTTTTTAAGGCATTGGGATTAATGCTTCATTTAGCTAACTGATGATAAACAAGGAACAATTGGGGAAAATCATTGTCATCTAAATTATGCAAAAATGAAATACAAAAATATCTTAAAATACTAAAGAGCAAATTTATTCAAAAAAAAAAAAAAAAAAAAAAAAAAAAAAAAAAAAAATCGCCATTGGCTTCAAGAGCCTACTGTAGCTCTTCTGAATGGTGTCCTTGTTTAAGTTAGTAAATGCTACCATAATCCTTGTCTTCAGTTCATCTTTGGTCTTAGAAAAAGCTTTGTTGGTCTCTTGTTCAACTGCACGCCACACATAATAATCAAGGGGGTTGCAGTCTGAGGAATTAGGTGGCCAGATGTAATGGGTGATGTGGTTGCAGAAATTGTCTGACCACCATAAATGGGTTCTCCTGCTTGTGTGACATGGTGCAGAGTCCTGTTGGCAGACATGGGATCTTCCAGCAGCCATCCTCTTTGACCAGGGCACTTGATTTAGGCCTCAGTGTTGAGTGAGGCCCTTACAAACAAATTTGGGAGTTCTTTTCTTGTCAGAAAAATCAAAATGCGTTTTCTGAGCTGACATGCCTTCATAATCACCATCAGACTCATCCAACTCCTTCCCAATCATTTGCAACGTCTTCAGATTGACACCTAAAACAATGAAATGTTTCTATTGGAGTTTCCAGTGTAAATACCAAGCAGTACAACATGCTGTTCCCAAATTCCTGACCAAGTGAATTGCATCATGGTGCTCTTTTTCTCACAGACAATGTCCAACTTACTGTGCAATTAACAAACACACATCCGTAAAATTAATATAAAAATGGCAACAATTTACCCATAGCATTGTGTATGGTTTTTAGCTTAGGCTAAAAATAACAAAAATGAAAAAAATTCATTCCGTTTTAATATGATCACGTGGGTGATGTTGTGAAAACGTATTCGAAGATGATTTCGAAATATTACGTAAGCTCAATTGAACAATTTTCTCATAAACAGTTTATTAAGAAATCCTTTCTGTTCTTATAGGAATACACGGAGATCAATAAATTCTTATATTTTCGTATAAGCTTGAAGTCTTCCATGTTATAAAGTAAATTCAGGTTTGTATTTCCAGTGATCATATTAAAACAGAACACTGATCTTATAAAAAATTTCAGTTATCTGTTTGGATTAGTCTTGCTCTTGTGTCCATCGTCTTTTTCATGTTGAATTGAATATAGTCGAATGTTAATTATGTTTTATGAATATGTCCTGAAGATGGTCTATTTGACCGAAACATCCAGCGTTGACATTATATTAACATTAAAACAGCATAATTGCTTATTAGGATTTTTGTTTGTTTTTTCTGTATATTTTTCTTCATACTGTCGGATCTATATCCATATATTTGCTTATATATATATATATATATATATATATATATATATATATATATATATATATATGTTCCATGGGTAAGTAATCCAAGTGATTCCTAATAATATAAAATATTAAAACTGATCCACAAATAGAGATTAATATATTTATTACAATACATATATAAATAAATGACAAATGAAATTCACAAATACCTATTTGTGAATTTCATTTATTTATATAAACAAATCTTAAAAAAAAGGAAAAAATGTCAAGTCCTCTAAGTTTAGAATATCAAACGGTTTTAGGATTGACGTGGACTAAAATTAAACCACTAACCTTTTTACAAAATGGACATGTTGATTTGCTGAATACCATGACGTTGTTGGCTTGAATGTAGCCCATAACAACTGCCTGAAGGGAGCTGGACTCCCCAAGGGGCGGCATTGTGCTTTAAGTTGAGTCACAGAAACCTTAAACAAGATAACTTCTCTTGTAATTATTTACTTCAAAGTAAACCTGCAATTTAAAATAAATAAATATAAATAAAAATTAAGATAAATTAAAAAGATAAAGATAAAATTTAAAAATATAATTAATTTTTTTTTTTTTTTTTTTTTTTTTTTACACCCCTGTAAGAAGATTCAAAGAAAATTCATTTATACAAACACATATTCTACATAATAAATACCAATGTTAGTGTGTTACTCTTTTTCAGTTAAAAGAGAACAATTCTCATTAGCTCATCCCCTCCTTCTATATAATAAATGCCAGTGTGTTATTGAGTCACTTTTTCCAATTTACTCTCAGAGGCAATAACCCAACATATACCATTTTGGAATCGGGCTGATTCAGCAAGCAAATTAAAAACATTCCAGGCTGAGATTCCGAAATTTGGAATTTCCAAGTTTTCATTACTGCTTTTGGTGATTTTTTTTTTGAGACAATTCTTTTTGTACAACAACAATTTTTATAAGTTGGAAATAAATTTGAAAATAATCAAAATTAATTTTGAAATCCAGCAAAAGTCACCCATAAAATAAAAAATAATTGTTTGTACAGAAAGTAAGGACCTACGTACATCAAATTGTCTTTAAGTGGCGGCAGAAGAATTATTGTTGAACTTTTAAAAGGTAAGGTTAAATATTAATGCAACAAAATACTTAAGTGCAGTGATCAATTTTGAGGGTAGCTTATAAGCTAGTTATATAATAAAAATATAGTTTGAAGGTATGCTATATTTATGGGTGAAAGTGCTCAATATCAGGGATAGAGCACATGGTCTGATGATTACATTTAAGTAGAAAACAGACCTCTGCCATTAGGTGTTGATAATGTAAGTCTGCATACACACACAGATTGCCAAGCACTTTAATGGGGGAAGAGGAACAAAAAAAAAAATAAAAATAAAAATAAACAGAATTATGGTTAATGACCAACTTGATCCAAATAAAGGATTAAAACTGATGCTTGGTATTGAGTCAGATTTTGTGAAGTGTGTTGGGGAGTGAGGATCTTTTAGCACCCCCACCCATTCATAGTTATCAGTCATGAAAATAGGTAGCATACTAATTTTTATTTTAGTAAACGCTTTTTTTTCTCCCCAAAGATCTTGAGATATATATATATATATATATATATATATATATATATATATATATATATATATATATATATATATAAAAATATATATATATATATATATATATATATATATATATATATATAGATAGATAGAGAGAGAGAGAGATTCTATATATATATATATATATATATATATATATATAGAGAGAGAGAGATTCTATATATATATATATATATATATATATATATATATATATATAGAGAGAGAGAGAGAGAGATATATATATATATATATATATATATATAGAGAGAGAGAGAGTCTAATTACAGTAGAAACATTTCCTTTATTCACAGTCATCAAAGTATAACAGAAATTCCTGTCATCTGCAGTTAAGTCTTCAACTGGATTCTTTAGTACATTAAGTATTATCACAACCATTATTTCATGACTTTTTTTAATATTCTGATGAATCTCAATTTTGAAGTTAAGTGAATAAACTCATAGCGAGTTCTACAACAATAAAATATGCATAGATTTTTCCCAATACATTGCTAAATCTTTGAGCGTAACAACTTTAACAAAATATTGCAATAACAATCATAAACCCGAGTGTTGATAGGCATTTTAAGTAAAGAGGTACAAAAGAAAAGATTTAAAATTGGTAACTTTCCATTTTGCTGAAACATTAAAGATTTCTATCTTCCCTTCTTTCATTTTTCAACAGATCAAGTATCGTCTCTGATATGTCATCACTGTTTTTCTACATGATCAAAATGGAACAGTTCATTATTCATGAGGTATTGACAGGGTGTAACAGTCAGGCTAAGTGAAAGTGAAACAAGCAAGATGATGACAACAGCAACTCCTATTACTACTACTACTACTTGAACTTGTCAATTAAATAAAACCTAATAGATAAGTAAAGGTTTTTAGTAGTAAATGACTACATATATTCATGTGATTGCTTCTTTTCCAAGTTATGGGGGTGGCCAGGTGAATTGTTATCAGCCACCAATCCACTCCGTAAAATGAGACCAAACATCAGAATTTATTTTAAAATCTCTTAACCGGATAGAGAATTTTCAAATATCCACTCATAGACAAGACACTGGTTTTTAAATACACATTGATGGCTTACAAAAGATTTTACATAGACATTTTTTTTTAAAACTACTATTCATTTTAATTTCTTCCTGTCCCCAAATTGTACAGCTAAAGTTCAAGGGGTGGAGGAAGGTCTTCTATTCATAACACCAGTGCATCAGACATTTCTTACATTGGCAATTTTAAGATTAGGATTCATTTTTTGTTGAAACTCCAAGACCATGATTCTACAATCAATAAAAGATATGTTCTTAAATATCAAGTACAATCTATACGAGGGGTGTGCTGAAGTTCTTCACTTAACAAATTTATCAAAATATGACCAGACTACAAGATTTTTTTTTCTAGGAGAAATTTTCAGAAAGTGAGCAAGATCTGTAATGTTAGCAGGAAGCAAATCAATGGCCAAGTTCAGTGATGTATAGAATAATATACAAGGTTTATTAAAGAACTACTGAAGAGTACTTCTTTCCACTCTCCCTTTACCATATAAAGTAATGAATATTCGGCTCATTAATATGCAAGAACTGCCAGGGTTTAAATACTTTGTCACCATTGGTCATTATTAGCAAAAGATTTTAAATTTGATAACTTTCTTTTTTGCTAAAATATTAGATGCAAATTTGTTTTTATTATTCAAATTTAATCATTTCTGATATTGGAAAATTTATTTTATTTCTTTGCATTTTCATGTAGCATCATAAAAGTAGAAATATGGTGAGCATGCATCCAGTGTTGGCCAAGAGTGCAATGGATAAATTGTCTAAGTTACGCAAAAATGAAAATAACACTGACATCTAATTTTAACAGATATATATTTACCAAAATTATCTTGAAATACAAGAGTAAATTAAAAAAACATTTAAAAATACATAGTGTTTTGAAATTATCAGTAGAAGTAAAAAGTAAACACAAATAGGAATAATTATTATTCCCGTTCATTTTTAGTTTGAGTCTGTAAATATATTTTGTTGTTAATTATCATATGTTACAGTTTGGAGCATAGCTTGTGAAATTTGGTAATAGCTTGAGGACAAAAAAAAAAATAAAAAAAAAAAAAAAATAATATCATCTAATGATACATTGCTCTTAGTAGGATGACAAATAAGCAGACACTGAAATTACAGATTGAATCTATGAACTGTTGAAGATTACTCAAGACCTTCCAAAGATTACACAAAAAAATAGTGCTTTGTGAACTTTGCAGTAAACATAATTTTGGTCGTAAATATGTAACCTTGATGAGAATAACATATGGATATCTTTCCTGAGGTGTTTATAAATTGTACACTGTTCAATTATTAACATTAATAACTATTTTAAATTAAAAATTGTACCTGGATTAAATGAAAATTATTTACAATAAAATACATTCCTTCTCGCCATTAATTTTGATGGCACGGGTACACTAGTAGGCATTATAAAAATTTTCCTCAAGAAAACACAATAATTCATCCTCTTGTTCCCCTTTTCCATAAAGAATTCAATGTGAAACAAGTGCTAGTTAACAATAGTTTTTCAAACTACCTCATCAATCGCCAAATCAGACTATTTCTTTCTAGAGTAACAAATAGCAATACTGAACATACAGATAAAAAAAAAAAATTTCTAGAAAAGCCAAATACACATTAACGATAAGCAAGATGAATTTTCTTAGAAACATTATAAAAGAAATACACAATCCCAGTTGGCCAGAACAAGAAAATTAGATCCACACAAAAAAAAAAAAAAAAAAAATTTTAAAATAGCTAACCTTAATAAGGACAACACACCTGCATCTATATCTACGTTACAGAGAACCAACATTATTTATGAATTGACATGTCCCTTAAGGAACTATGTTCCTGATCAAATTGAACTTCCAAGTAGTTATATTAGACATAACATTACTATCAAGATTCACATTACTCCTCTCTGACCATAGCTCAATTAGGATCCATCTAAACACATGGAAACCTACTTGTAGAAAATACAAAATTAAAGCCTCATCCAAATGTAAAAAAAGGACTAAAAATAATGGAAGCACTAATAAAGAAAAAGAGAACGTGCAATAATATCTACTATGAATATGGCTGTGTTTGATTTGGCTGGTTGGGTTTTATGGCATATCAACCACCATAGGTCATTTAATGCCAAATTAAGTTTATATATATATATATATATATTAGTACTATTAAACGTACAGCTGGCAACATTACCGTTTCAAAAAGGTACAGCTGGCAACATTACCGTTTCAAAAAGGTACAGCTGGCAACATTACCGTTTCAAAAAGGTACAGCTGGCAACATTACCGTTTCAAAAAGGTACAGCTGGCAACATTACCGTTTCAAAAAGGTACAGCTGGCAACATTACCGTTTCAAAAAGGTACAGCTGGCAACATTACCGTTTCAAAAAGGTACAGCTGGCAACATTACCGTTTCAAAAAGGTACAGCTGGCAACATTACCGTTTCAAAAAGGTACAGCTGGCAACATTACCGTTTCAAAAACATTATCTGAGGCCTTGCTGTTGGACGTAGTTTATCGTCATACCCAGGACGTGGGTAAAAATTGGAAAAACTAGGAGTTCACTATTTGCCCATAGCTGGGACCCTAACAGGTGCTACCACCCTGAGTCAAGGTGGACCTGGGAACACCAGCAATTAAGGTGCTTCCACGCTCCTCAAAACCTCCTGATCAGAGGCCTTGCTGTTGGATGCAGTTTAACGTCATACCCAGGATGGGCTGTGTTTGAAAAATAAAACATTCCTACAACTCTAGATACATGATAATAATAAAAAAAAAAATCTATAATCAGTTAAAGATAAAAAAAAAAAAAAATCACCCCAATG